CTTTTTAAATAATCTCACATCTGCTCAGATTGAGTTTGAAGGGGTCGATCAATCGACTGATTATTGATTTCTGTCGGAAACAGTTGAAATATCCTCACTGCTCCTGCAGATTTTTTCACTTTGCTTTAGTAAATTAAGACCCAATAACAGACGGAAGTGACTTGATGAGATGGAGGTTTTGTGTGTCAGTGGTCATCGTTAAGACAACTGCTGCTGGAGGAAGAAAGATAAGAAATTCTTGTTGCCTGATATAAATATTGGTTTGTGAAATCAGTTTTGGTCCAAACTTCTTCCATCGAATGGCACAAAATTTGAAAACAAGAAAAAATTGAAAATTCACAGAAATCACCAAAAATTCTGTGTGTCTAACAAGCCTGTGTGTGTTCTCGTCTTTCATCCGATCAGCGGTAAAACCAGTAAGAATCTCATTTCTCTCTGTGTTTCTCTGTCCAGGAGCGAAACTAAGCCGGATTTAACCTCTGCAGAGACACATCGGAGCAGCAGTGGAAATCGAGGGATGAAGGGAGGGAGAGTGGAGGAGGAGGACAAGAGGCCGATGGTCGGAGGAAAACAACAGGACCCACCTCAGTCTGCCTGCCTCAGCTGGAGGAGGATTTCTGGGGAATTACACGGAGAATAAAGTGGGTTTTCACTGCAGACGGAAACAAAAAAACAGTCTCCACCTCTCTGGATTATCAGTCCTGTGGATTTAAGCCTTTACTGTTTCACACTCAGACCAAGCAGATTGATTTTTCCTGGTCAGAAGGAGACTTGGAAATTCACCATGAGAAGCAGAGACACTGGAAAATTCATTTAAGTGATAAAGTTTGAGCTGAGATATTTCATCAGACAGGGAACTGTTGTGTTTTCTGTGCAGTGGCACCTGTAGGAGGCACAACACCAGATATTTCTGATAGAGGAAGAGACTGTCTGAGCACCTTCATGTCAGACTGAGCCACATATGATCCAGCAGGCTGCAGAAACCTTTTTCATTTCCTCTTTTTTGATATAAAGCACAAACAATCTTGAAGGAAGGGAAGCTCTCCTCATTTCAACCCTCTTTAACCTTTCTGTTTCTCTCCATCTCATTCTGTAATTTTTCTTTGAAAGCACCTGTTTTTTCTTTCCTCTTTTCTCTGCATGCCCGTGTCTCGTTTTAGCCTCTTTCTCCCTCTCTAGCGTCTGACAGGAATCCCGAGAGGATCCAGTCGTATGAAGCAGGTGCTGATGACAGACAGCAGCAGAGAGGCGGAGGTCGACCGATAAAACCAGATAAGTGATGCTCAGTGACGGGAGCAGCAGGTAACAGAGGCAGAGTCTGCAGGCTAATTCCATCTCAAGGACCGTCTGTGGGCGAGGTGGGCAGTAACGAAACCAGAGGGAGGGGGGCAGATGATCGTCTCTGCAAAGCCTCAGCATCTGCAGAGGGAAGTGAATCAAAACATCCCCTGCAAACAGCAAAGAAAAAGCACGAATAACTGAACAGCATTTTTATATATTAAAGTCTCTTTGCAGGGACTGTAAATGCACCAGTCTGAATGTGGAGCTCAGGGATTTATCTTTAAAGAAATAGTAAACACATCTGAGTTTATGATAAACAGGTAACAACAGAGAGAGTTAAAGTTTCCACGTCGAGCTCGTGCAGCGGAGAAAATAAAAAGACTTAATCCAACGAGAAACTAAAGCACACAGAGTCAGAATCAAACATCTGAGACTTTAAGGAGGAAGCACAGTTGATCCGTCATTAACTGCACCACTGATCATCAAACTGATTATAAACCACACACGGTTTGTGGATAAGCTAAGAGAAGTGATCCAAAAGTGCTGCAGACAAGACTGAGCTGTATGAGATTATCACAGGAGAGGAAAAGACAAGCAGAAATTAGATGCGTCTTTACAGCTCTTTGGACAGCTGAGTCAAACTGAACTGAACCAGGTGAAGACACGTGTTTACACCTGTGTGATAGAACAGAGTCGAGCTGACAAACACACGTGGTCAGGACTGTTCAGAAACAGCTGATTTTACAGAGATTGCACCAAAACCTTTAATACTTTTGACAGAGACTCTGATTTCTCTGTTCTTGTCCTGAGGTGAAATCACCACAGAAACTTTATCAACTGTTCTCAGATCAGGTTTAGACTAAAAATTGAGTGATTAAGCACAAACCCTACAAGGACTATAGTGCATGCAAAGTGCACAAACAGAGTTTTATCCTGATGATGCTACATTCAGGTGTAAAGTTACTGAAAGTTTTTCAAAAACAGAAAAGCACAAACTTTTTTTTTTACTCAAATGAAAAGCTTCAGGTGCTCAGAGTTCAGCTCAGTGTGTAGATTATAAACTGACTTTAAAAGCACAAATCACGAGAAAAGCCTATTGTTGTACCAATTTTCCATGATTGAAGAACACAAATTTACTTTTATATCAATTTAAAGTAAAATCAAATTGACCCTTTAAGTCATCATAATGTGGGAGCTTAGCTACAGTTATTAGATTTTTACCCAACACTGTTCACAGAATATCAGCTGTTGATATTTTTTACATGTAGGATCATTAAAGAAGAAAAACCTCCAGACAAATATTGTATTATATTGGAGATGTTCAGTTCTTATTTGTTATGTTCAGCTTCAGAGAGAAAAAACTTCAATATTTGACTTCAAATCAGTGATTTTCTTCAGAGTGTCTCTTCTTCTCTTCTCAGTCTAGAGACATAAATTATTATTAAACTTCTCTGTCACTGATATTTAATATTTCAGATGTAAATCTATTATCTGTAGATCATTTCCTGTCTGTCTCCAGTCTGTGGAGACAGGACGCAGTTTTAAACACTTGCTTATGTTCAGATGAATTATTGAACTGAAGTGAAAACTGCTGGAACAGTTTACAGCCGCGAGAACTCCTTCATGTTTTATTTATGCTCACTGGCCTTGTTTCCACTGCGGCTCAAAACCGACCTGAGGAGACAGAAAACTCCACGTTTAGCTGAAGAGATTTAACACTGAAGTGTTTTAGAAAGATCAGTGGAGCATTACAGCCTTGAAACAGAACCTCTGTGTAGTTTTAATTTGAGTTTTATTCACTTTCAAGAGCAGATTTCAGAAAATCTCAGCAGAGTTTGGGAAATAACACACGTTTTTCTTTGTACATTTACTTGCAGTTTGCAATCAAATAGAAATATTACATACTCATCCTTAAAATAGTTTTGTTGTATCTATAACTTTTCGGTGTTACTTTTACTTTGAATAGTTACAGGGACTAATTTTGTCTGATTTTTATTCACTTTTCCTTCACTTTTAAGTTGCCCTCATCATTTTCTGGTGTATATTTTGTGTTCTCTGTCCGATGAACAGACACTTATCATCAAATTTATTTAAAACCAGGGGAGAAAGGATCAATTTGGTAACAGATTGAATTTTTGACCTGGAAGTTTGTATTTTTGTTTCCTTTCTTTAGTCGTTTGAGCTGAAAACCTCCAACAAACTAAGAAACTTTTTGTTTGGTTTGTTTAAAACTGAGACTGAAATTAGCTCAAGGCAGACTTACATGAAGTGACGTTAAATCCACCAGAGTCTGTTAGAAAAGATCCAGGTGAAGTAAACAGACATCCTCTCTTCCTTCCCTCAGTGGGCTGAATGATACCTGATGATGCTGTAAACCTGTGCATGTACGTGTGCACGCGGAGGACAAACACACTCACAGAAATGCCAGTGTGAACAGTGTGTAGGCGGCAACACATTGAATAAAAACACACACACACACACACACACACACACACACACACACACACACACACACACACACACACACACACACACACACA